TTATTGGTGGTTTTGGGGAGGGTATTTTTCATGGCGTAGCTTTGCACACACCTTAAAAATGTTACACCTAAACACTGTTTTTCTCTCCTTTGTGCTTCACTGATGATGCTTTAAAGATTCATATTAAAGTTTTACGACCAGATACTGAAGCTGAAACTGTGTCACCAGAAATGTAAAGAGCTTTGTCTTAAAAATGAAACTTCACGCAGGATCAGCAGGCACCAATCCCGTGTGAAGTTAATAAGCAACCTGCAGTGTCTGTAGACGGCTTTTCTCCTAAACCTTTGCAGACAGCTCATGAAAACCTCGCCGGTGTCGTTTCACTCTTTTCTTCTGACACCTCCACCTTCAGAGACAGCCTGTTGTGTCCCTCTTCCAGCACATAACCTGTGTTTTACAATCAGAGTCGATATGATTGGCCCAGAGGTGCGGCAAGCTATTTTTTTTTAAAGACTAACCTATATTGCTCAGGTCAGCTTTGTTTGATTTCGCAACAACTAAACTCTTACAGCAGGTAGAGGCAGGCACCAGTCACACCGGCGCACAATTAAACAAACACACTGATTTCCGTGTCAAATATTCAATGCACACGGATGGAGTCTTGACCTTGTTTGAAGCTGTAAGTCATGCAAAATGGTCCGCTTTAGTCTTTGAAGATATTGTTTACTCATGGCTTTGTGCACAGAGTGAAGCTGCAGGATTTTAAACTGTAAATGAACCACATTCATACGGAGCTTTTAAAGAGCTTTCAGTCACAGATTCAATCGGTTCTTTAAAAATACTTGAAGCTGTTTTCAGACTTCTTTTTTTTTTTGCCACAGTTCATTTCTAATCATTGCCCATAAGAAAAGGATCCAGATGAATTTTTTAATAAAATAAAAAAAATTCATTACACAAAAAGCAAAGTTTGTTATATTTCTGTTCATTAATTACATTTATTAGCCACAGCTTCACTCCACATGTTTCCCTGGATGTCTGCAGTGGCTCGATGCCCACCAGAGACGCAGCTCTCGGAAACAGATAGCCTATCATTTGAAAAGACTATAGGTGACTACAAAAGGAAGCTTTGGTGCAGAAGGACAAGTGGTACAAATGTGCTTTGGGGGTTTCGTCCAAAATGAAAGCTACAACAGTTCTAGTTAATCTATTAGACAGAAGACTCAAGTTCCTCTTGTGTACATTCTTATTTCTGAAGTATTCGGCTGGTAAAATAAACCTTGGAGGACACCGCCATGGGCTCTTTATCCAAACTATCTATAAAAACAATTGAAAAGACCACTAAAACTGATGAACTGACTCATCCTGATGCTTGTAACTCATAAATGATATAAAGCATACATCACACCCCGCACACCACAGCGTCTTTATTTGGAGATGGCGAAGCATCGTTCTGCATATATTTTCATATTAATGAGGGAAAACTGATCTCCTTCTCTTTGCAAGCTAAGTTCAAATTGATATGAGTATAAAGTACACAGAGACAAAATGCTGACATTAAAAAAAAATAAAAAGGATAATTAATGTGCTGACTGGAAGAAAATTGATTTTTTTTTCTAAAAGGAACTCGATAGCTAAAGAAGAAAATGTACACAGTCACAGGGTTGGGTTTGTTTGTTTGTTTTGTTGTTTGTTCGTGGAGATGATCCATTTACACTGTGGAGCGTCCTTCTGCATCAGCTGAAATATTACTGAAGCTCTGTTACTGTCAGCAAACTCGTCCTTTTGTGGCTTTTGGAATGTTTGGACAGTAAAATCAGACCATAGAGACATTGAGGAATATTTTCCATATTTTTATAACATTTAATAAACTGATTAAAATGATTGATCAAGAAAATAATCAGCACTGTTTTCTTGTGTACAGAAGATAAACAATTAAAAACGAAAAGAAAATGTCAAACAGAAGATTTAGATCTCAGTGGAGATGCAGGGAACACCTAGAAAATTTAAAAAAAGAAGAAGCTGAGTTTTTATAAGCACAACAACAGTAAACAATAACAACAACAACGTCTCCAATATGTGAAGGTCTTTTCCTTATACAGGGTTTTTCCCAAAAAACATCTAAAGGTTTATTAGTAGAACATTTTTTAAGTAAGTAAAAATGATTTATTTTTCTAATCTTGTTAGTTTGCTTACTAATTTTAGGAAGAAGTCACCTGACCTTTTTGTTGTCAGTCTGCCTCAATTTGCATTACACCTCCAAACCCTAATCCTAAACCTCGGGGTTATTGTATAGTTTTTTTTATTAGAGTCAGTTGGATATTTTTTTCCTTGATTGCCAAAACCTTGTGGAATAATTTTAAGCATTAAACACTCTGATGTGTAATTTAGGGTTAGGATAATTGAGACATCACAGGGTTAAATTCCAGGAGTTTATACATGAAAACAAATGACTTCACCATTTGAGCGGGTGTGATGTGCACATTAAAACAGATTATTACCCAAACAAAAGACAAAACATCATCCTGATATTAAACAGAGCTGAACTGGCTCTTTACACTCTGCCTCTCACATCAGGAGCGAAGCAAACATGACAGAGGACCGCAGAGTGAAGCGTGAATATGTGTGTTGGCTCAGCAGGAACAATAGGAAACAAGATTATTTAAAGACAGTAGAGGAGCCTCCCTCTCTACGCACACCATACAAACAAGCTGAAAATGTGCAAAGTGATGCATAAAAATTCACCAGAATGCAGAAAATGAAAAACCCTCACTGAATGTCGTCACTCCTACTCTGCCATATGTTTTTCACATCAGTCCTTAACCTGTTGTAGTTTTTTAAATTTCATGTATGAACATGTGCGTTCAATTTATTTAAAGCATTCGGCTTATTTGAGCCAGAATGTCTTTGTGCTGAATAACTGTTTTCTTGACTGTGACCATGTGACCCGTGAAGCCTGTTATCTGCAGTTCAACATCACTTCTGTGTGACATTAATGTGCTTTAAGAGGAGAGCTTGTCACCTTTTCATGGGCTATTGTTCCAGTTGTTATCTGCTTTTATGTTATCTGTGACCCTGCGGGTGTCAATCAAGCCATTTAGTGCTAATGCTGCCTCAGAGTTTACTCACAGTCTTTATCTCAGTAACACGTTTTGCACCTTTAAGGATACTGCAGCTCAGCTCCCCCTCTGTGGTATTCCTGTTAGGCAGAAGATATTTGTATCCTTTATAATTTAGTGTCTTGATATACAAAAACTGACATAAAAAAGTTGCATTAATTTAATAAACACCTCAAAAGTATTTATTGATTTACTTCTAAAAGCAGACTTTAATAGACTTACTTTGATCACTTTAACTTTTTAAAAATTATTTATGCATTAGTGTTTAAATCTACTGTACTTTTTTGCATTAAATTAAACATTTTATCTTATTCTGTTTCATTTTTAGGCTAATGTGTAGTTTTCTGTTTGAGTTTAATATTCTGCTTGTGCTTGTCTGTAAAGCGTGTTTAATTATGTAGGTTATTTGGAGATGGGCTGGCATTTGTGCAGATTTTTTTCTGGTATTATTGACTCCTTAATGCTTTATATGCCTCACATCTGAACCTGAAGCTTCCTTAGAGAAGCCAAACATAACCTCAGACGCATGTGTTTGTATTGTAGGAAGAAGCCGAAGAACACAGAGAAGAAGAAGAAAGGGAGAACAAAGACCCGAGGAAGATTTGACGGTGTAGAATTGATATTTCACCTAATTTGGTTTTGTATTTGGACAAACACGGGCTACATTCTGACATTCCACCTTAAAAATTAAGAAAAAATATGCATATTTTACTGCTTGGGAAAGTGTGTGCATCATTTTAGTCCTCAAAAAGGTGCACATAATCACCTTGAGGTCCAATAATCTAACCGAAAACAATTATTAAAATCATTTTGGTCACACTCCACTTTTATATCTGTAAATACATAATAATTGTATTTTACCAAAAAGCAAAACAACCTGAAATCTTTCTCTTCTTTAACTCTGGAGCTACAAAAGGACAAATCATTCCCACTCATACTTTTTGGAATTAAAAGAAGCTCCACTGTGAATCTTTACTTTTAATTTTCACACCTGTGTAGCCATGCTGGCATCACCACTCCTGAAACAGCAGCACATTTTAGAGAAAACCTAAGATGTTACACACCCCTGAGGAGTACATTTGTGTATGTTATATTTGTTGGTATGCTGGGATCATCTGTTACAGACTTCTGAGCACAAATGTTTGATGAGCCAGAGCCAACATCTTCAGGAAGACACTCATGTGAAACAAGAATCTCGAGAATCTTTTTTTACCTTTCAAAACGACTTTGTCTGCCAAAGCAGGAACACTGAGATCCTGCTTTGTCTTCCAGAACCTGTAGAACATTCATTTATTCTCAATTTTATGTAAATACTGAGATTTTTAAATAATATTTTGGACTAATGATGAAGAATTATGCAATTGTAAGTCATAAATGGAGAATTGTGGAAAAATATACAACCTCATTGCAGGAAAATATAAATGCATGTGTGCAGGCCTCCACTAGCATTTACAAAGGATCTTCCAGGATGTTGTGAGCTCCTAATCTTCTCCACATAAATGTTCCTTAAAGAGTCCTAAAAGTGAGAAAGATGGATTCATATGGAGAGGTTTTCCTAAAGTCATCCTCAGAATAGCTTGAAAGTATCTGATGTTACATGGGTGGAAGGTTTTTAAAAATTCTGTTTAATAGAGTCCTGGCACACCTCTGGTCTCCTTCCTCTCTGTTAATTGTGTTATTCTGTTGTGCTTAGATATATGTATACACACAAAGAAGTCAAATTTAAGGGAAAACAAACCTTATAAGTAATTTTTTTGGCTGCTTGAGTGGGCCCCGTTGTCCTGTCCGGTTTAACCTTTGTGAATTTTCAGCCGAATAAAAACGACACAACAAAGATTTCATATGAAGCTTTTTATCAGATGGATGAAAAACAGGGGAATTGCCCTTTATCACATTTACAAATGTACAGATCAGAGTTTTTGCAGTGGGGACTCCGGCGGGGCCTCAGGAGGAGTTCATTATGGGCCTGCCGTACACGCCGTGATAGTACCCGCTGTCGCTGTGCACGGGCTCCAGGCCGGGTTTGGCCGCCATCAGAGCCCCGGACACCGGGCAGCCGTAACCTCCGTACTGCACCACCGGCTCCAGCTTGTGGTGCTGCGGCTCCGACATGAGGTTGTTGATGGAGAATGGGTGGTTGAAGGAGTAGTGGGTGTGGTAGGGGTCCGTTTTCAGGTGCGCGGCCTCGTGCAGCAGCAGCGGGTGCGGGTGGTGCGAGAGCAGGTGCTGCGTGTGTGTGAGCGGGGAGGGCACGCGCACGGGGCTTGAGACTGGCGGTTCTCCTCGGTGGGGTTTGAGGTCGGCGCCCTTTCCGTCAGATGACTGAGGTGACGATGAGGAGGAGGAGGAGGAGGGCGGGGAGTCCGAGCCTCTGCCTGGCGCTCCGGCCTCACAGCCCGGCTCGCTGTCCGCCTTCTTCCCGCACTTAAAGCGCTTCTGCCGCCGCAGGTAGCAGCCGTTCTCGAACATGTTCCCGGAATCCGGGTGCAGCGTCCAGAACGAGCCCTTCCCCGGCTTGTCAGGCGCGCGCGGCACCTTGATGAAGCAGTCGTTGAAGGAGAGCGAGTGGCGGATGGAGTTCTGCCAGCGCTGCTGGTTCTGACGGTAGAACGGGAACAGGTCCATGATCCACTGGTAGATCTCGTTGAGCGTCAGCATCTTGCTGCCGGACTGCTGGATCGCCATGGTGATCAGGGAGATGTACGAGTACGGCGGCTTGGCGTGCGTGTAGCTGCGCCGGTAGGCCTTGGACTCCCGTGGTCTGATGGCGCAGGCCTGCCCGTACACCTGGCTCATCACCGGCACGTTCCCGTACGGCGGCGGGCTCATGGGGCTCATACTGGGCGGCAGCGCGGCGGCCCCGGCGCTCTGCGTCATTCCGGAGGCCACCGAAGAGCCGCTCACCCCGACCGGGTGGCTCACGTAATGCGCGTTCATGTGGCCGGTGGCCGTCATGCCAGGCGTACCCATGTAGGTGCTCATGGAGTTCATGTTGGCCGCTGGGGGGTAACACTGCGACACAGAGAAAGCCAATTAACATTAATTAATGCACGAGAACACACACACACACACACACACACACACACACACACACACACACACACACACACACACACACACACACACACTGAGTTTAATCCCTAAATAATTTAATTTAAAGTTAACAGCCTGATAATGTCGCATAAATACACAATAATAAACCCAGCGGATTTATTTCAGCCTGACACAAAGATCAGAGTCAGAAAAGACCAAAACAGGCTAAAAAAAGAGCGGAATAATTCGTTCTTGATCCGTGCTACGATCAGTGTTCTGTCACTGATCGTAAAGTCTAAAAATAGTGAAATGAGTGAAAAAAGGAGGCTGGAAACCTGAAAAATACACATAAAAACTCCAATAAAGCGTCACAGGCGCAGAGATAAAAATACACCAAAGCTTCTGATTAGTTTCAAATAACTGATCGGAAGTTATTTAAAACAGTGAAAACTGCTCACCACGAGATTCTGATTATTATAATAAAGACTAAGACTAACTTTCTGTTTGATTTTAGGGTTTCTAATACACCTGTATTCCTCTGTCTAATTCATCCATAACTCCTGTTATTAAAGATATTAATTGAGCTGTATTTGCTATAATCCGAGTCCGTCCATGTCTTTAAATCTATAAGCATGCACATCCTTGTAAAGGCTGCTTTCACTCTGTGGTTTTCTTGTTGAAGGTGAAGTCCAAACCTTCCACTTTACCTGTCTGTGACGTGTTTATACTTTATTTATTTATTTATTTTTTTGAAATAGACCCGAGCTCACGCGCAGGGTGTGGGGACTACTGGTGATGTTAAATAAATCACTAATGCAACTTTTAGAGGGGACAGTTTTATTTGAATAGAACAAAATTATCACGAGAACTAAAATTTTTAAAAAGAAGGTTTTTCACTTTAGATTTATAAACATTTTATTCAGCAAAAACGTCCAAGGAAATTATTTTTCTAACTAGAATAAAATCTTTTTTTTCTTTTTGTTTTTAAAAAAATACATTTTTAGATAAATATTCCACATTTATTTTTCTTATTTTATTCTCTTGTTAACTGATTTTAACGCGTTTGTTTTATTAACCCAAATTCTTTGTGAATTAAAATCAGTTACACAGAGTTTTAACAGGAAGTCAAAGCGCTTGTTAAAATCTGTCCCTCAAGAATGAAAAGCTTGTGTGAAATTTCGTAAATCCTGCAGAAAAATAAAGGTGACGTTTAATCGCGTAAAAACGTACATTTTGTTGCCCGTGTGTGTCCTCGCTGGCAGCTGCAGCCATTTTTCTATTGCTCGGTGTTTGTTTTGCAGTTATGATCGAATCTAAAGCAGGCATCGTTTTTAAGTGTTAGTTACAGTTTAGATTATTTGACACAGCCGAGTACTGAAGGTCAAACAGCCTTCCGATTTTCGCTTTAATTACCTGGATTTCTAAGAACAAACTAGATCCCAGTTTAACAAATTCTACTGCAAATATTTACTTAGTTTACTTAAAATGAAAAACATGGCTCCTTGTTTTTACTTGAAATCCAGCCGAAGAGTGGCTCCTTTGACAAACTTAACATGCTCTAAAACGACTTTAAAAACTCTTTAATCTCTAATTTTATTAAACTAAACTTTAGCCTACACTCAGTAATACTAATAACTGGTTATAATTTTATATGAAACATTCAAACTGTGCGTAAACGTCTGGGGTAAATTGTGTAGGCTCGGTACAGCTGAGCCTCTCAGATTCCAGCTCAGATCCTGTAAGTGACCCTCAGTTATCGTTTTTCCATCACTGAGATTTTCCGGCCGTGATCGGGTTTTATCTGCCTCCTCTGCAGGGAAACCTCTGCCTCTGATCGATATTTAACCAATAAGCCAACGTCCCCACTGACTGATAACACCCACGGGTGAAATTCACGGACCTCGGGCTCTGCGTAGTAGTAGCTGCTGCTCCAGTCCGGATGCTCGTGTCCCTCCATTTTAACGGCGCTCAGCATCGTGCACGCTCCAGCTCCAGATTCATCCAAACAGCTCCACGCAAGGCTGGAAAACAACCACGTGAACCCCACCTGTCCTCAGCTGGCAGCCGGTACCGGGCCGCTGGATCCCCCCCTGTCTGTTTATGACCGGAGCTGCTGCCTCTCACCTGTGCGCGCACTGTGGCCGACGGACGGTTTGTGCGCACTGAGCGTCTGCGACACCTGCTGCTCGCTGCTGCGCAGCCGCTGTCCAATCAGCCGCCTGCATCCCAGGGCCGGGTAATAAACACCCCGAGGGGGGTTGGTACGTATGCTCAGCTGGCCCCTGTAGGAGGCTCACAGCAGATTCAGGTTTACTTTTGACTCTCAAAAAATAATTAAAAGTGAAAAGAGTTAAAGAAAAATGGCACCAAATCTGCCGCACAGTCCACTAGCAACGAAATGGACAGAATCAGATCCACAGATTCACAGATAGCTTTAAAGATTTTTCTTACCTTCTGTAACTCATTTCATGCATTAAAAATGATCACTATTACACCTTTTTTCTGTTTTACACATAAGGTGTGTTTTCTTTTTCAGTCTCATCTTCAACTTTTGTTTGGTTACATTTTGCCATAAAATTAGTTTGTGTTACGTTCTGTATTTTTATTTTTTTGTAAACATTTCAAATTTCATTTAAAACATTTAAAACGTCTCTTTCAACAGAGTGATAAGCTAGCATAAAGTTAGCAGCATCTAAGCACAGAGTATTAACATTGTTGAAGTATTAAGATATAGGAGTTACATTACAGATGCATATAACAAATCAAAAGGGGAAAAAAGAAATGAGAGCAGCGAACTCGGGTGCAGGGCAGTAAAGCATGAGGCCATCTCTAGTACATGCAGAGGAAAACCAGGGGCCACTGTATTGTATAAGCACTGGATGGAAGCTTTTCTTGTGAAGGTGGTCTGACCAAAAGACATTTTTCTGTCTTTATGATATAAAGGATGTGCTATTTTGTTTAGTATGTATAATTTCAACTAAGAATCCTCAAGAATTTAGATTTACATACAGTGGTTTTAAATACCAAAACGATGCCAGTTAATATCATAATCCTCATGTTTACAATTCAAGGCCGAGGGACCAGATCAGGCCTGCCTCTATGAATCCAGAATCATGAAGCTTGAGGTTCTCTCAAAATCTTGGCCCACCTATACGCAGAGTGGAAATACACATTTTTCTTTCATTTTAAGAATAATGCATGTCTCAAATGTAGTTTATGAAGCTCAAAAAGCTGTAGAAGTGAAAAAACACAAAATGTGCTGGTTCCAGAGAGGCTGATCTTTAATGTCTTTATATAACCGTGAAATATGAACCTTTCCCTTTGTGTGAAAGTGTTTAGTTCCCGGCAGAGTGGAGACTGCCCGGGATCTCCTCCTTCCTTTTCAGCTGCAGGGTTCACTGTTTGTGCGCTGACAGTGTGTGTTTACCTGCCAGTGAATCTGAAAGGATAGCCGGCACACACAGCCGAGGTGAAGGAACAAGAGAAGCTGGACCACCATGCTCTCTGCACACAGCCGCTGTTTTATCTTCTGTGGCCATCAAACATGACCGCAAATATTTCCCTTCATTTGTCGGTTGCACATGAAGACCGAGAGGGGGTCGAAGTGTTTATCAAAGCTGTGACACAACGAAGGGCTTCCCTCACCTGCACAGGATCACGAAAAGTATTTACAAGTCATAAGTTATGGATTAAACATTGACTGAAGACTTTAAAGCGGCTTCAGATACAACAGAGGAAGACTTAACGAAGAATCAGTGGGCATGAAGGATGAATATGGAATCTGTGGCCAGGAAAGAGCTCTTCCTGTAAAAATTTGCAAAAATCTTTATTATTAGCTTTAGATCTTTTATTTAAACAGGTAGTCTCGTTGAAACTGAAACCCTTTTTTTTTAAAAACATAGAAAAATCGAGAGTTACCTTACTAAAAGTCACTTTATACATTATCATAAAATAAGAAAAACACACACAAGATTCTTTACAGAACCTTTAAAATGTCCCAGTTTATTTATTTTTCTCTCACTGAAAACTTCACCTCCACATGAACAGAGTCAGCGTTTTGGGATTTCCCTACCTGGATGATTGAGCGTGAAAGATATTTTTTTATTTTGCATCCTGAGTTAAGATGGGCAAGTATGGGGAGAACATGGAACTACCACCTGTCTAGAGATCCTCATGGGGAATAAATGATGAAAAATAGCTGTGATTTATTGATTTGTTATAAATATTTTATTTTCATCAGCTAAAAATGATAATACTCCTTACTCTGCATCCACAGCCTCCAAATTCTTGACACAGGAAACAAACAGAGATGTTGTGTGCTTGATTGGCTCTTCATTACCCACCATACATATAACAATAATCTGAATGTTGTGATTTTTTTTAAATTGGCATCACCTCCTGACCCTGCTATAAATTCAGCGACAAAACAGATAGAAACAGATTATTCTTTACTTCTTCTGACTACACCCAGCTCCCAAACATTATCCATGAACACTCTGTGTTTATTTGTGTGCATGAGTTCAGCAGGTCTCTGTCCTCCTGCCAGTCTGTGCTCTGTGTTGAAGGACACATCAGCTCCTAAAATGCATCACGAGGGCAGCAAAGAGAGAAGACTCCAAGAGGAGCTATAACTGGGGAAAGTGTGTCCTTTTCAAAAGTGTTTTTATCTTTAAGTATCACTAAATCATAACCACAACTGAGATATACGAACCACGGAGAGAGGAGGAGTCTTTAAACAACTTGTCCTTCATATTCATACATTTCTGCCTTCCAGCATTTGTCTGTGTGCCTGTGATTACAAAAGTTTTTTTTTTTTTAATCTTCTCACATTGTGCCATGTAGTGAATTTAAATAACAGAAGTCCTATGGAAAAAATGTTATGATCACATCTGTATAATGAAAAAATTTCACATCATATTTAACTGACATGACTTTAAAATGAGGCTCCAACATGGAGACGTTTCATTTTTACAGAACAAAGACACTCTGTGGAAGAGAGCCAGAGATTAATAGTAACTAAGGAGGACAGTTTCTGTGTCCTGAATCCAAACTGGGAGCTGGTTCCACTGAAGAGGGGCCTGAAAACTGAA